AACCAGGTAAAGAAGCTCTCTGGTTCCTCACACTGCCTCTTTCTGCCGGCTTTATTCTGTGTTTGACTTGAACATTTCATCAAATCCTTTCCATATTTCCATTTGATTTCAGTGGACTTTGAAGATGGATCACCACTCTCATTCAGATGAAATACTTTGGAGAGAACTTTATTTTCAAAGTAAGGATTTTCATCAAAATAAAAATCTATTCTGTTACCTGATTTAATATCTTCAAAATCTGTCACTTCAACTCTGATCAAATAATGCAGTACCTCTTCGTCCTCCTCCCCAAGCAGTGCAGACGCTTCTGAATGGCTGACAAATATTGTTACCCCAAAATGTGGGATTTGGCGATCAATTCTGACCTCTTCCAAAAAAAATGGTTGGCAGAGTTTGTTATATTTCTGTTCTACTTTCAAAATCTCCTCAACGGCTTGTTCATTAAGTCTGTCCATTTCATTTTGTACTTCATCAATGTGTTCAATGCTTCTTGCTGTTCTTTTTCTTCCTTCTTTGGCAAGCCTGCAGAAGCCATTGTCTCCTCCAGTCTCCGAGCAGGAGGTGGTCTTGGTTTCTTCTTTTGAGGCAGGAGTGGAGACTGGCATTTGGGGGCCATCCTGCAAGGAAAGTCCAAGAACCAGACCATGAATCTCCTCGCTTGTCTGGAAACAGGCAGAACTGTTAAGTCCATTTATTCTAGGGTATAGATTAAGTCCACTGTTTCTTTGTTGATCTTCTGTCTTGATGACCTGACTGGTGCTGTCAGTGGAGTATTGAAGTCCCCCACTATTATTATGTTGTTGCTTTAAAGTCTGTTTTGTCTGATATAAAATGTGCCACTCCTGATCGTTTATGGTTTCCATTTGCGTGGAATATCTTTTTCCACCCCTTTACCTTTATGTAAGTCCTTATGTGTTAGGTGAGTCTCTTAAAGGCAGCAGATACTTGGTTGGTGGATTTTTATTCATTCTGCCATTTAGTATCTTTTAAGTGGAGCATTTAGGCCATTTACATTCAACATTACTTTTGAGATGTGAGGTACTGTTCTATTCATTATGCTAGTTGTTGCCCAAATACTTTTTTTTCCCACTGCGTTATTCTTTTATGAGCCCTGTGAGATTTATGCTTTAAGGAGGTCCTATTTTGTTGTATTTCCAGGTTTTGTTTCAAGAACTCCTTTTAGTATTTCTTGTAATGCTGGCTTGCTGGTAGTGAATTATCTCAGCATTTGTTTGTCTGAAAAATACTTTATCTTTCCTTCACTTATGAAGCCTAGTTTTGCTGGATACAAAATTCTTGACTGACAATTATTTTGTTTCTATAGGCTAAAGAAAGACCTTGATCCTTTCTGGCTTGTAAGGCTTTAGCTGAGAAATCTGCTGGTAATCTGATTGATAGGTTTTCCTTTATAGATTGCCCAGTGCTTTTGTCTCATAGCCCTTAAGATTCTTTCCTTTGTCTTGACTTTAGATAACCTGATGACTATGTGCCTAGGTGATCATTTTTTTCTGATGAATTTCCCAGAGTGTTCTTTGAGTTTCCTGTATTTAGATGTCTAGATCTCTAGCAAGACCAGGGAAGTTTTCCTTGATTATTTCCTCAACTAAGTCTTCCAAACTTTTAGATTTCTCTTCTTCTTCAGAAACACCAATTATTATAAGTTTGGCCATTTAACACAATTCCAAATTTCTTGGAGACATTATTCATTGTTTTTTTAATTCTTTTTTCTCTGTCTTTGTCTGATTGGGTTAATTTGAAAACCTTGTCTTCGAACTCTGAATTTCTTTCTTCTACTTATTGTAATCTATTGAAACTTTCCAGCGCATTTTGTATTTCTCTAAGTGTGTCTTTCATTTCCAGAAGGTTTATTTTTTATTTATGATATCTATTTCTCTGGAGAATTTTTCATCCATATCCTATGTTGTTTTTAAAATTTCTTTAAGTTGGTTTTCAACTTTCTGTGCTGCCTCCTTGAGTAGCTTGATAATCAACCTTCTGGATTCCTTATCTGGCAATTCAGAGATTTCTTTTGGGTTTAGATCCATTGCCAGGGAGCTAGTGTGATCTTTTGTGGGTGTTATAAAACCCTGTTTTGTCATATTACCAGAATTAGTTTTCTGGTTCTTTCTCATTTGGATAGACTATTTCATTGGAAAGGTGTGGAACCCAAGGCCTGCTGTTCAGATTCTTTTGTGCTATGGGATGATTCCTTGATGTGGTGCTCTCCCCCTTCCATTAGGGAAGGGACTTCCTAACAGCCAGACTGCAGTAATTGACATTATTCTTCTGAGTCTAGCCAGCCAGTGGTGCTACCACACTCCGTGCTGGTGCTGGGGGATGTCTGCAAAGAGTCCTGTGATGTGGTCCTTCATATCTCCCAGCCATGGACACCAGCACCGGCTCTGGTGGATGTGTCAAGGGAGTGAATTAGACTCTGTGAGAGTCCTTGGTTGTAGATATGTTTAGTGTGCTGGCTTTCTTAAATGCTGGTTATGCTAGTAGTGACATTGTCACATGGACAGACTCAGGACCTCTAGTTAGCCAGAATGTTGCAGGTGGTGGACTTAGCTGTTGTTTTCTCCTTTCTGTGAGCAGGGTTATTATGTCATGTGTTTCTAGAATGGCCTGAGCTGGTTTGCCCCTAGCCAGGCAGTGGCACTTTCAAGACAGCACCAGCTGTGGTATTAGCAGGGAGACGTAAGCTTGCCCTGGGTTGGCCAGGGTAAGTATTCTAGTTTCTCAGGTGATGGATGGTGCCAGAAAGTTCCCAAGAGTTTCTATATTTTGTGTTCAACTACCAGGGTAGGTAGAGAAAAAATATCAAGTGGGGGCAGGATTACATGGGTCTGGGCTTAGACTGTCCTTGGGTGGTGATTGCCTTGGCTGCTGTGTGGGATTGGGGGTGGTTCTCAGGTCAACGGCGTTGTGTTGCAGAGGGGATTATGGCTGCCTCTTCTGTGTCATATACTTTGCCAAGGAAGTAGGGGATAGCCAGTAGTGAAAGGTCTCACCCAGCTGTCATGCAGTCGTTGAGTCTGGTCTTATTCCTCTAATGCCCTGCTGAGAACTTGCCCCAGGCTGTAAACTTTCCCACTGAGAAAGCAAGCACAGCTTTCCCTGTCTGTCCACAATGTTGTCGTTGGATCCTGTGCTCCTATCTGCAGCAGTTTTGCTCCCAGTTTGCCCCCAGATTCTGCTCAAGAAAATTTGTGCCCAGCTGAAATTATTACAAATTTCCATTGAAACTACTTGCACCCTGTGACCCCTCCCTAGTTCTGCTGGCTGCCTTCCCCAAGGTCCACTGTGAGATATAGTCAGAGATGACTTCCCTGGGTTTGAGCTGGAGACTGCAAGTGCCTTTAGGCTCTTCCCACTGCTGCTTCTACTTTTATATTTTGTGTGGCTCCCTAAATCTGTTTCAGATCTAGGTAAGGTTAAATCCTTCTCCAATTCACCAGTGGGGATGTGTATTTGGAGGCAGGTTTTTTCCCTTTCACACTTTGGGAACTCACAGTATTTTGCTTGTCTTACAGAATTTGCAGTGGTGTACTGCTTCTTTCAAAGGATTTATGAATTCTTTCAGTTTTCCTGGTACATTCCTGCCATGGTTCTTGGAGCAAAAGTTTACAGTGTGAGTCTCCGCACACTGTTCTGTCCATCTAAGTGGGAGGTACATGTTAGCCCTGTCTCCTATTCACCATCTTTCTCCTGATCTCCAGGATATTTTAATTCTGTTATTAAGTTCTTGTTTAATTGCTTGGTAGTCAGAGAATATAATTTGTGTAATGCCAGCTCTCTGATACTTGTTGACTTTCATCTATAGCTGAGAATACATTAATTTGTGTAAATATTCCATGCATGTTTGAGAAGGAAGGTCCAGGTGAAAGTTCATTCCCAGAGAGGATTAGCGATTTTTTCTGCAAGGTGTTTGGGTCCTCCATTAGCCTGAGTTTATTCTAAAATTAATTATCAATGAAAATATGAATTTGTTCTGTAAACCCGAAGGAAGGCCACTTTGTGGTTTCAGAGTCTCAGGGATATTTTTTCAATTCACTCAGTGCAAAGGTTTAGGAAATTTCTTTGCTGTCTTCTCTCTATGGCCTCCTTCATTTATCCTTTCACTGAGCTTTTAGCCATTGAACTCTTGGCTTTAGGTGGGCATCTTCTGTCAGACCCTTGGTTTGGTTGGCTTGAGGCCTGAGTGGCTAACAGAAGAGTCAGGAGATCTGGGATTGCAGACACAGAGGCAGCTTGTCATTATCATCCCTTCACCTCTCTGGATTCCTGTTTTTACCTGCTGTTTAGCATCTGGAGATATTCCTTACTTTCTTGCAACTAATAATGAATTTTTTAAAAAATTTAAAAGTATCCACCTCATTTTATGACTTTTTGTGGGCGTTTTGATGGCATATCTAGTCATAAAACCCAATAAGATACTTAGAAAGCCTGAAGGAGATTCTCAAATTCATGACATTCACAGATGCCAAGGTGTCATGGGCTTATGGAAGATCTGGAACCATTGCTCTATAGCAGGATTATTCAAGCTTTTTCCATGACTTACAGGAGCGTTCTTTAATACAGCTACCCAGTACACATGTGTGTATGTAAAACAAGAAATTCACAATACCTTAACACCCTTACTAAGCCTGATGAATTTTGATAATTTTCTGTTCATTTAAAAAAAAAAAAAAAAAAAAAAAAAAAGCCTGAATCAAGATCCATTCAATTGATTTCATGACTTTTTTTTTTTTTTTTTTTTTTTTTTTTTTTTTTTTTTGCTTTAACAAGTTTTATCTTATGGGTAAATGGTGATATTTTCGCAGATAACATCAATACTCCATCCCTTACTACGGTTTTATACAAAAGAGGCTGGAAAATAAGTACATTTTTACAGCTGGGTGTGGTGGCTCACAACTGTAATCCTACTTAGCACTTTTGGGAGGCTGACACAGGAGGATCTCTTGAGCCCAGGAGT